TAGTGTTCGATTGTTCTGGAGCCTCCCTGCCTCCTCAAGCGCAGCAGCCGCCTGCCTTAGATGGGACCGCGCAGAGCGGCCATCACCAACGGGCTAGAGAAAGCCTGGGACACACCGCCCGGCCGAGGACGACCATGCTTCAACTGGAAAGGCCCTAGAGCATGGGCCAGGGTATTTGGATGCGGCCAAGGGGGGACCGCGCCGACAGATGATCCGGGAAGCGAGATGATAATGTTTAGAATTGTAAAAAATATTTGAAAAAAATCGGACAAGTAGGGGGGGCCTCCGCAAGTCCATAAATAGTGGGGTTGTTCCCTACTTGAAATAAGCGAGTTAGATTGGCTCTAAGCTTAGATAAAAGGGGATCAATAGATGGACAAAACTAACCTAAAGATTGTGAAATAAGTCACAACCCAAGGAGGGTTGTAGTTTTATTATTTATGTTTATTAATATAAATTCAATTTTTTCTCCTTGCGCTATACTTAAAGACAGAAAATGTTAACACTAATATAGTATGTAATATACTAATACTAAATATTGTTGAAGTCTAAAACTTAGGCCGTTGAGAAAGCCTACGGGATCCTAGGCCAGGCTTAGTACCTAGTAGAAATGCCTTGAGTGCCATTGTATACTACTAAAATATAAAGATAAGGAGTTGAATGTTTAGAATCATATGCAATAGTTTATAATGTACCTACAGATAAAAAGTATATTTACATACTAGGAGTACTAATGGTGTCAAGGGAGTGTGTTGAGGTCCAGTAGAACTTCAAGGTAAATATTTTGTAAAGCATATTCTGAACTCTATTTGATTCAAATATAAGTATCTTTGAGATTGGGAGGTGCCACTGCCTTATTGAGGTCAAGTAAAGCTTGAACTTGTACGGAGTTACCATCAAGAGCCATTGAAGCTTGATAACATTGTATTATATATCATTTTGAGTCTTATACACGGCTATCATCTGGGGTATGAGCGAGCCCAGGAAAGATCCCCAAGGAAACGTAGAATCCTCCAAGATAGAGTCCCCTCCTCCCAAGCATGTAAGTACTAAATATCCGCCAGCTCCCACAAAGGTGGATCTATAGCAAAATGCAATAAAAACTCAGGAACAACCTTTAACTAGGAGCCAAACACGTCAGCCGCAAAAAAATTGGAAGGAGTTGTGCAAGGAGTTCATTGACAATTGAATTGTGTGAAGGTGTATGCAAAGTGAGTAACAAATTGGATATCAGAATATGTATAGATAATATATTGATATTTTTGGTCAGTGTCCATAATCCTGGAAACAAAACCAAGAATTATTCCAACGTGCCTTAAACCGCCCGATTCCATTAAGAAACGGCGAAGATATGGCCTCCTAAAGTCTTAGCACTTAGGGCCAGGGGGTCGGGTGTTAGATGCTTGGAATTAGAGCACAATTGGTCGATTGTAGGTGAATGGTGGATAGTGACGATGTGCCTAGACACGCACTTGTGTTGTCTTGTCTTGATGTGACAACGATGGACCCGCGATCGGGCATTGCACAAGCGGATTTGTGCGTGCACATGCAGTGAATTTGTGTAATTGTTCTGGCCCACTCTCTGGCTTCCTGTGAGCCAACGAACCACAGCCCCACTGTGCTGCCACCTCTCGTTGACAGCAGGCCCCGGGGATCGATCCCGTCAAGCATTGGGCCCACTGCATGACAACGGAAGCGACTGCCCCTAATACGCCCACCGTCTGAGGTGGACAGGCCGGCTGACCTCCAACAGCCATGCTGTAGGGCAGAGCGACCCCAACGACTCCAGAAACCAGCGCCTGCCGACGGGGCTGCAATAGGTGCCATGACCCAATGGGCACCTTGGCCCCTCATTGCTCACTCAAGTGCACCCTCCCACACTTCCCCCCACCCCACCCTATCCATCTCTTCAAGTAAAAGCTAAATTGGGTGCATATGTACCAAGACCACAAGTCACATCCAGGGCCCTGACTGCCTAAGGCATTGAAAGCCCTAAAAAGCCCTTAAAGCCCTTAAAAACCCTCTAAAAGTCCCAAAAAAACTAACAATTAGATATGGTAAATACCCAATATTGTACCGCACTAACTGGTACCCGGGGGTATCGACAACCCCCTACAGTAACCGGCCCAAGAGGGCTACGGTTACGATAGTGTAGGGGTTAGAGTGCTTAGACCGGCACTAGAGCGGTGGCCACTGGTACCTGGGGTACCCCCAGGTACCGGCGCTCGGGTGTGGCCCCAAGTACGTAGTACTTGGGGTCCGGTGCTGGGTCCCGGCTTAATGGCCTTCGAGCGCCCGCACCGGTAGCTCTCTCTCACCCCCTTTTGCGCGCTGCTGCGCAACAAATATTAGCAGGCATGTGTTGGATACCCAAAATAAATTGTGGCTACTAATAGTGGGTCATAGATACGAACGCAATTTAGACCCCTGATCAAAAGATGTAGAATCCCTAGGATAACAGTGGCCAAGTGAGACAAATGGCAGAGCTTCGGTCAGTATTGGCACGGCACTCAATCTTCACCCCATTCCGCCAAGGACCGAGCTGCTCCGCTCCTCAGTCGCTCGTAGTCGCCTGGCAGGGAGATGCTTTGGGCATCGATCCCCCTGCGCCCGACTCGGAGATGCCAGCCAAGCGTGCATAGTCAGGGCGCTCGCTCGTTCATTCTGCATGGTGGGCCCAGGGTACATAGCCCGCGGGGAGCCTCGGATGAGGCAGTACAGTGTGCGGTTAGCAATGTGGGGTGTGTCGCGGAGGGGGCGCGCCCTGAGTGGGCAAAGATCAGTCACGGTCATGAGAAACGGAAAATGGAATTACAAAGTGGCGCATATACACCACTTTTATAGTCCCATCAAGCCAAGAAGCTTTGTGGCTCCAGGCTGTCCCACATAAGGCTGAATCAGCCCCAGCTCCTCTCCCACGTACCAGAGCGGAGGGGGAACACTTATAATGATCCCATTTAGTCATCTATAATCCCCCTTTAGTATATTAAAGGAAAGGAGAGGTCTCCAAGTGCCGTGGGGAGTCCAAAGCAAGGACTTTCCCTTGGAAACCTTGGGGCCCAAAACTCCCACTTCCCAAAATGCCTTGAATAGTGGCACCTTCAAGTTGTGCCTTCCAAACGGCTGTCCAATGCCTTTCATGTCCTTGGACATGAAAAGGTAGACTTCGGAAGGGTATTCCCTCAATGCCGCAAATTAGTTTAATTCCCTTAAAGATGCAACTATCGGCAGAGTAGCTCATTAGCACAAGAATATGCTTGCCACTTAGTTAGCTGGTTATGAGCTCTTAAATGAGCAAAAGTGGGTCGTCCCCTATAAATTCCACAACAAATGTATTACAATGGTGGTGGGCCCCCTAGTCCAAACAAGGTCGAGTGCACTGACGAACTGAGATAAATAACCTATGGGGTGCCTACGTTTATAGGTGGCGCGCTCCTGTAATGTCCAATACATTCTTGTAATGCCAACCTCGGCCTCTTGTAATGCCACCTCGGCTTTCGGAGAGCCACTCACATGGTCCCTTGGCCCCTTGGCATACCTCTAATAATGCCAGGCGGCTTCCCCAAGCTATACCACGTCCCTCCAAGGTACCATGACCGTAGGGGCGCTTGCACCTATAATCCAATATAATGCAGATGCATGACAGGTACCTGTACTGCCAGATCAAACCCATAATCCCTTGGAGTATACTCCACCACTTCCTGGCGGCTCTCATCCACCCATGACCACGCACCACATCATAATTAATTATAAAGTTCATAATCACCGCCATTCCATTAAGGAATAATACCCCAAATGGCCAGAAATAGGCTAAATTATCTAGATTGCCTTAATGCCTTTATTATACCAAAAATTGGCCCATTTAACAAGATGAACGTGGCGATCATGATTAACACATTTATAGACTCAAATGAACTCATCCAAATTATCTAAATCATCTAATAACCCGTCAAAGTACAATAAAGTGTCCAGTCACTACAAAAGATTAGACAATTTTTTTAAGAAAATAGGGTCTGAAATACCCCAAAACGGGCGAAAATATGACAACGCTATTATCGAAAGTTGGCACCTTCTTCACAAGCAACCTGGACTTGGGGATGCACCAAGTGGGGGAGACTAGCGATTGGGACTAATAGGGGTATGTTGGAATGCTTGAGCCACATTTGCCTCTGCAATGCAATGAACCATGACCGACAAAAGCCTCGACATGCCGGGGCGCTAAATCGCAACGACGGGCTTGGCCCCCTTTGCTTTGCCTAGCTGATGCCAGCTGGGATGATTGATGGGATATGTGATTGTGTTTGTGGCCTCGTAGCCAGTGTAATGTGCGAATTGTGGACAGCCTCCATAGCATTTTGTGAGCAGTTTTGCGAGGTGGGGTTCCACGACCGTTGCTGCGCCAACCAGCACCATCGCCTATCCATTCCTGGCGCTGGGTCTTGGAGGACCTATGGCAGGCACCACGCCGGAACCCGCTCTGGCCGGCCGGGGAGCAGGTTGACTCAGTCGAGGAACCAGGGCGGCTTTGATTTCTCGACTGCTTCTATGATCGAGCCTCGTGGCATTGGTCGCCGCCCAGCGATCCTGGCTGCAGGCCCCAACTGCAGCCAGTCGACCCTCCAACCTTTTGCAGGCCTCCTTCCAAATTCTCCCCCGACAACATGCACTCCGACGCGATCGTTCCCGTCGATGCGCGAATCGCAGGAATGTTGTTTGGTCCAGACTAGGCAATGCAGCCCAACACCAGCCGCCAACTTGCCTTGCCACCATCCTCGCTATCGCTCGTTTCTGTCCATGTTTTGGGGTGGATACTAACATCGGGTCATGGATACTAACGCGGTTTCGACCCCCAAAGAGGGGGGTGGATATTAATAGCGGGTAAATACTGTAGCAAACCAGTCAGCTGACCCAGTCAGCCTGCGACGAAGCGCCAACAGCTCCCAAATTTTGCCTGCCCGCCGCTTTTCCCCGCCTTCCCCGCGGCAGCGCTCTCCACGGCCATGGCCTCCCGCGGGAAGCGACCCAAGGGCCAGCCGCCCATCAGCAGCTTCTTCGCTCGGGCGCCCGCGCCGCCCCCCGCCTCCTCCACTCGCGGAGGGCACCTCGCTTTGCCTCTTGAAGACAGCGTTAAACATGAATTGGAAAGGAATCCGTCCTCCGCCCAGGAGCCCCCGCCCAAGCGGCACAAAACCCTGGCTCCAACCGACGCGCCCGTTCCCGATGCCCAGCCCCTAGATTCAAATGCCGGCCAAAGGGTGGCCGGGTCCGGGTCTGGGATCCGGGTGGCATCCGGGACAGGATGCGGTGCAGGGATTCCCGAAAGGAATCCGGTGCGGCACCGGGTGGCCCAGGAGAGGCTGGTGGGCGGTGGGGAGGGGGCCGGGGGGGGAAAGGGGGTTGCGAACGGGGGGAACGCTGCTGGTGGGTTGAAGTTCACGCCGCTGGAGCGGCAGGTGGCGAGGCTGAAGGAGCAGTATCCCAACGTGGTGCTCATTATTGAGGTGGGGGCAGCTTAACTGGGCGCATCCTTTTTCTGGGGTGTTTTCCAAATATTGCATCGCATTTCAGTGTCCAGAGGTCCATCTGTTGCTGTTGTTTGCTGCAGTGAATCCGACGACTGCGTGTCATGTCAGCTGCACTTGCAAAGACGACTCGTGAGGCAACTCTGTGGGGGTGAATTCGACTAATGTGCAGGAATTGTGGAATGGATGAATAAGAAAGAACAGTATGTAGAGGGGTCGGAAGGGCTGTTGTCCTCTGAATTTATGACAAGTTGCCAGTGGCATTTAAAATTCCAGGTGCAATCCTTAACCCTTGCAAAGAGATGTGTGGGTAGCTACTGTTGTTATGAATCGGACCACCACCGTTTTCTAAGCCAGAAAATGTTGTGCCTCCATCTTTTTGATTGCTGATTATTCATTATATCCACAAACTTAAAGCTCAACCCCACCAATGCGATGAACATTGCCCACCTGAAGTGGATGTTGGTTGGATCCTGTACTAAAAAGTAGTATCTTCATAGTGTTATTGCATGAAATTAGACCTAGAGTCGTTTGTTTATGATAAGCGGGTGATTGTGAGTACCCCGGAAGGAGTACCACAGAGAAGAAATCCTCTATCCCAATTCCCGCTTTTCAGGAGTGTATAGTACGCTTCATAACCGCTAAAGAGTTTGAAAAGAACATGTGTAGTGTGCATGTGGACTCCCAAAATGGCTTCAGTGAGACATGTGCCTCAGGATCAGCGTGTGTTGTCTGGGATACAAAATAGCTGCCTAGTGTCTCATGTGACTGCTTCACCTGATCTTCTGTCAATGGCCATAACCAGGACCAGATATCCCCTAGTGCCTCAGTTTTGGCTACAAGTCTGTGAATCATGTTCAGGTTGGCTACAAGATGAGATTCTTTGGAGATGATGCAGAGATCGCATCCAAGGTATTTACACTGGCAGGATTTCTTTCTGAGCTTGTGTGCCAAGTCTGTAAAACGTGATTGTATGCATCATATGTTGTAATGTACGACTGGAGGCAGCCATCCAGTAGAATTGCACATGACACAACTTTCAGTGATGTGTGGATGTATGCTTTTGGCTTCTCCCCACAACAGAGCCAACAGAGAGCCAAAGATTGTCCAGTGAAGTGCAAAAGAACCACTTTTAAGCATATCTTGCAATACACGCTGCCTGGGAATGGTATGTGTGTGCATACAACAGCAAATCTTTGCACAAAGGGAAAATTGACACATACACTTTTATCCACAGAGCAGGTAGAAAAGGGCAGTGTGACAGCATGTGGGTGCTCTGCTGACTGTTCTGCCGCATTCGCTGTCTTTTGCATGAGAGGCTGCCTTGATAACCAGCATATGTCGATTGTCGCATGTGGTCACTCATGGACAGCAATTTGTGATTGTATTTATAGTTGAAAGCATATGCCTTGAGCCAGCATCGTTCTATAAGTCATTTACTGCAGGTGCTCTGATGGAACGATTCATCTTTTTTTGCTTCTGTAGTGTTTCCACCTTTCGTGCTCCAGTGTTTGACTGGCAGCACCTCACAGCTGTACTCATCCCTGTAGGCAAGTTGCTGTTTGGCCCTGAGAAACTGCACATCAGACAGGCGTGCACAGAAAATAATTGTGCTGGCAGGATGCAGCACATGTTGCTCAGCAACGCCCTGTGTTGCACTTGCAAACATTTAGCCCCTGATGAATGCAATCACTGCACATAGCAAGTGGAACAATCGATTCAAAGCATTGGCAACATCATGGCGTCGAAATGTTTCTATTGTACTGAGTAACTTCAGGACCCATCCGAGCACTTCTTGCCAATTGCAGCGATTGCACTTAATCATCTTTGGCACCCATCTCAGGTCTGCAACATCTACTCCTACCCAGACCGAAACTTTTTGACTGCCTCATTCCCGGTGCCTCGCCTGCCCATCTATGTGCGGCGCCTTGTGGAGGCTGGTCACCGCGTGGGCGTTGTACGCCAGACAGAGACAGCGGCTGCAAAAGCCGTGTCTGCCAACAAGTACTCTGTCTTTGAGCGCCGCCTGACAGGCATGTACACCCGAGCCACCTTGCAGGCAGGGGAGGTGTTTGAGGCGGGAATGGAGTACGGGGCAGGGGTTGGGGATGATGGGGCCTATGGGCCTGGCTGCAACCACCTGCTGTGTGTTGTGGAGGGGGATGGGAGGCTGGGTGTTGTGGCCGTGGAGACCTGCACCGGTGACGTGAGGTGGGGTGTGTGCAGGTAAGAGGCCAGGCTGCCCTGGGGACTGCTGTTGGATTACTTGCACACATCGCTTTACTGCACATCCATTCTTGTGTGCATCTTCTTTTTTGTTCATTGCTGTGTGAGAAGGGGATTCTGGGCAACCGCATGTGATGCGTTGCATTGGGCCATTTATGGGCATCAACCCTGCTGTCCTGCCTACAGTCTTTTGGATGCATGTGCAGTTCAGCCCTGTTGTCGACTCAAAAGGCTGCAAATGAACATGCTATGCTGCTGGTGCTTGGCCCTCTTCTGCTGTTTCCTCTGTCTTCCTAATCCCCGCAGATGAACCTAGCTGCCCCTGGTCACTGCCCTTAGTTCAGCCTGCAGCTCTTGCCAATTTTTTTTTCAGCTACCCATCCAAGGTAACTCCCAAGTGCATGCAGGCTCACGTTCTTCAACAACACCTGTTTCTCAGCAACCCCTGGGGTCTTAGTGGCAGGCCGTTGCTCGTTCACCAATGAGACACTGTGGGACAAGTTGCTCCCTTACACTGTTGATGCTCATCCATGTTCTGCTTGTGTGCATTTTCTGCCTGCCTATTCATTGGTTGTGCAGCTGGCTTGTGGTACTTGGGCGTTTGCGTTGATGAGAGGGAAAATATACCATTTGGAAACGAATCTGTGTGTATGCCAAAAATAGCTGACCTCACTGAATATGGGCTGGGTAGCACAACGACATGTGTTGATAAATGATGTACACAGCAGCTTTTTGAAACGACGCCTTCCACATGGCACAGTATTGCATCAATGTTTCTTCACAAAAATTTGGACATGGAAGTTGGACTTTACTACTCCATGCTGCCTTGTGTGGAGTGCCGTACTATCACTTCAGTTCAGTTTGTGCAAACTGAAACTAGAGCGCCACAGACAAAATCAGGGGTTTCCAACAAGCACCTAAGTGTGTCCCAATCTGACTGTCTTTGCTGAAAAATCAGCTGTTGCCTGACACTGTATGGCAGATGCAATGACAATGCTACATCGTTGACGTAACCAACAGTTGGCATTCAGCAGTTGAGTCTTGTGCTGCTCATCTCAGCATCGATGCTATGGACCACGACCTGCAATCTGTGCTGATGCGCGTGACTCCCAGCGAGTTGCTCATGGTGGACCCTATCAATAAGCGATCGGCAAAGATGCTGGAAGATTTTCTAGCGACCATGCCTGGGGGTCGGGTTGAGCACGCCAGTGGAGCTAAGTACGAAGAGGGCCGTGTCGTCCATCGCGTGACCGAGCTCTGCAGTGAGTGCCCAATGTGTCTACTTTGTGGGTCGGATATTGAAATGCTTGTAATAAAATTATTGATTGTGAAACTTTTGTACTTAGTTGCCATTAGTTGCAACTGTGTAACCTCCCTATGCAGTGCTAATCATCAATGTAGTCCACAGTAGGCGTTGATGGTAATGGCAAACTATCAAACTATGTGCTGACAAGAGAATAGACAAGAGAGACAAGAGACAGACAAGAGTGTGTGGCCCTCTTGATCACTACTGCTGCACATTGCGCAGATCAAGAAGTAGTGTGCACAAATTGCATTTGCTCCATTGGCACCCCCTTTATGTTTCCCCACCTAGAAGAAGAGATGCTAGCCTTGTGCCACCTCAGAAGAAAGTGCAAGGCGATGTAAAACCCCAAAAGATTGATCGCATGAAAGTGAGCTCAAAGTTGCAAAGAAAACTGTGTGTCTGTGCACCTTCAGGTGCTGTGGAATCGTTTGATGCCTCACAGATCGTGGGCTCGCTCCCAAGGCTCGTGTTGCAGGCCCTATGTGCAGCAGAAGAATACCTGAGACCCTTGGGGGTTTCGGCAGTGATGCTGCAGTGGGGGGCCTTCACACCCATTGCATCAGATGCTGAGATGGAGCTCTCTGCGAATGCCCTACGACAGCTGGAGATCTTGCACAATAATGTCGATGGAAAGGTCAAGGTATGGCTGCTCGTTTGATGAACATAGGGCTGCCCCATAAGCGATGTCATTGTGACTGGGCTCGTGTAGCCTGCCTTCTTTGCACAAGACGAAGAGCATCACTGTGGAGGCCTGGACATTTGCACTCAATTAAGTCTGGTTCTTGTGGCTACAATTGACAGTGGCCATACAGGCTGCTATTGGCAGTGGCCATGTGCCCACTTTTGGGGTAGCAAAAGGTTAACGGGCCAGACATTCCAGCACAGGAATGCTGCTGTGTGGTAAATGGATTAGTCACTGATGTGACACATGGCTTTGCTTGATGTTGGTCCACATGGACTGCAAGCAATATCAGTTCAATTCAGTTCTGTGCTCACACGGTGACTAGCATGCAAGTATTTCACACTGTTCACATGGCTTCTGATTCATTGTCAATTACCCCACTGTATCATTGGCCACACGGACGCCTAACCTTCACATGTTGTGTTTGACCAGTGCACAATGACTTGATCTTCAACGGTTTAAAGTTGCCTTCTAGAAATTGTATCCCTGGGTGCCCTGGACAGCACCACCACCCCTTGATCTCAGATCCACAAGTTGAGTTTCCCCTTCATCTTTAAACCCTTGCATATCTCTTCCTTGTGTCTTCTATTCCCAATCCATTCACCAGAACTCCCTGATTCTGCTGCAACTCCACTAAATTCTGGAATGCTCTGACACTGCGTGTATCAGGACATATCCTGATCACCTCTCACGGATGCTCTGCTGCAGGGATCTCTGCTGCATCTCATGGACCACACAAGAACCCCCTTTGGGTCACGCCTGCTGTGCAGATGGCTGTCCCATCCGCTGACAGATTGGGCCTTAATACGTGACCGCCTTGAGGCTGTGGATGAGCTGGCAAGGGCACAGAGCACGGGATCTGGTGGGTGACCCACGGGCCACCCAGCCCGATTTGTTGATTTTGCTGGGTGAAGGCATGGTAGGATCGCTTACCAAGAATGACCAAAGTTGCCTATTGGCTTGCAAAGGGTACTGCTTTCACATGCACTCCTGTGTTTTTGCTTCTCTTCTCAGTTCTCCACATTTAACATGTTGCTTGTACTGCTGTGTGTTTGCCAAGGTCCCCTGGCGTCCTTGGGCGATGTGCTATCAAAGCTGCCAGACTTGGAGAGGGGCATCACCCGCATGCTGCACAAAACTGCAGGGCCTTCTGAGTTTGCCAGGGTTCTCCGGGTATGAGTAATGAAGACCGGTGTTCCCACTGTCCTCCGTCATACACTCTCAATCGCCCCAGACAGAACTTCACCAGCGGTGAGATTACGTTGCATTTGCTGGTCACCAATTCCTTTGGGAACAATACCCATTCATTACTGAAAATCAGGCTCAGGTCTTCACAGATACGCACTTCCTCCATTTCAAAACAACTAACACTCATGAGTATTGACGGCTTGATGGCGTGGACACGGTCAAACACAGCACGGTAGCAGCCATGAAAAGCAAGCCTCTCTATAACCCTGCGGTAGGGTTCTTCTTGTCAAAACTGTCGCTGCACCCCATCTGCAGTGTTCTCCAATGAACTAAGAACTCTGGCTGTGTTCTCCACAAGCATCAGCCAATCTGGATTTTGAGTATCTGACACTCAGGCAACAAGACCAGAGCACACAACGGATATCTATAGCGCCTCTGACAAGAAAAGAAACTGCACCTCGTTTCGACATTCAGTGTCTCAATCTGAAGTGGCATAAGCATGCCCTTGCTGTGCAGGCTCTGCACTCCCTGTCCGACAGCCTTCCCCATTCTGCTGCCCCCTCCGAGGTTGATGCCAACGACTGTGGAGTGCGATCATCGATGCTGCGGTCCCTGCTGGCCTCTGCCTGCAGTGCTGCTGTGCATAAGCTGTCACAGAGGCTGCTCTCTGCCATCGATGTCAGGGCTGCGCTGCAGAATGACAAGCTGGGAATGTTCCAAAGCCGGGAAAGGTTTCCTGACGTGGTGACCTGCAGAGAAGGTGTCAAGGCCGCTGAGGCAGGACTGCAGGTGTGCTGCATTCAACTGCGGGTTGTACTGGTTGAGTTATTGTAGACCATGCATTGCATGCTTTGGAGCCTGTTTATGGCAGGGCTATTCCGCGTCTTGGCTATAGTGGCAATGTCTCATGTGCTATTTGGCTCATATTGCACGATTTGAGATACAAAATTGGAAGTAAAAGCAAAGACACAGGACTAACAATTTACGAAAAGCAGTTCCCCCGATCCTCCATAGCAAAATTGCCTTTGCTTGTTGCAGTGCTGACCACCGATGTACCAGATGTTTTGCTCCTGTCTTCCATACAGATCTCATTTGCACAATTAGCAAACTGTGGGCCATGCATTTGCATGGAATAAGCATACTATCATTGCAATGCAGGAAGCTTTGTTTTGTGAAATTGGTGCATTAGCAGAACCTTTGTGTCCTTAGATATCGTTAGCGGGATCATCTTTTCCCAAACAACACCATCAGGATATGTTTTACCATTAAGCGTTCATTATCTTGCTCTCCTCCTCGATTCTTAATTTGCATAATGGCATGCTAGGCTCATGTTTCATTGGTGTGTTCATCGAAGTGCCACTTTGCTTTCATTTGTGTACTGTACAAACGCCTCCTGCTCACCACTGCCAAAGACGAAGCAGGACCAGCAGCAAGTCTGAGCAGGTTTCCAAACTTTTCAGAGCTCTCCCAAAAGGTGGTCTGGCCCACAGACCCTCCAAACATTCACTCTTTGTTTGAGTCTGCCATTGCCCTCTTCTTGTATCTTGATTTCTTTTGCTTCTCTCAACTGTTCCTTTGACGCAAGAGTTGTATGCATTGCTGTAACTCCGCAGGACTTGCTTCCCAGGCTATCTCGTCAGATCGGTGTCCCATGCCTCCAGTATGTGTCCATTCAGAACCAAGGTGACTTCTTGGTCGAGCTGCCTTCAGATTTTCGGGGCAGTTTGCCAAATTGGGAAAAGGTCTGCAGTACCAAGAAGGTGAACAGGTGTGTGCTGTCAGCGTGCTGTCAGTGGCATTCTCACTGTATGCCCTTCCCCCCACTGCACCATGTGAACTGCATGAGACCAAACCACGATTCAGCATCAATGATCAAAAGAAGAGCAGCAGTCATGGAGCAGTTACATTCCCTCTTACTGTTCATTTATTGGCACCACTCGCAATGTGCATTGAACAGGGAGAATAGAAAAGTTCAGTATGAGGTTGTTCTTGTGTGTTGTCGTGGTCCTTGGGCCTTCGCCACAGCACTATTGAAACACTGGGCTGGCAGCATATCTGCTCCCAAGTAAGTACAAGTGTATCTTAAGTAGGTGTGTCATATTCAGGTATCACCCTCCAGAGGTGAAGCTGGGCATAAGTCGGCTTGAGCAGGCAAGGGATCGCCTGGAGAAGGCAGGTTCGGTGGCATGGGCGGGCTTCATCTCAGAATTCTCTGCTGACTACTGCTCATGCAGGGCAGCTGTGCAAGCACTCGCTGCCCTGGATGTCTTGCAGGTGCAGTTGTTGGACTGCTTCCTCCTGTTGACAGTCTTTTGGCACCAGAGTTTCCTTGCTGTTGACGCCTGAATGCGCCTCCACCAAACATAGAGCCAATAGTGCATTGGTGGAATCTGATGGCAATGGTTGGTGCCCAAACATCATTCATTGAGACAATGAACAATGTACTGTTCTGGTGATGTGCAATCTCGCACCAATTGTATGGTACAACCTCAGGAACGCCCACCAGTTGGAGGCTCTGCAGAAAGTACAGAGCACAGGGACATTCAGCACAGCTCACCAGTGTTCAGGGGTTGCAGTACTGCGTTAATACTTTGTACTGGGTGTGGCACTACAATTATCACAGACGCTGGCATTAACACTGTCAATGGTGGCACTGGCTTTTGTGTTGGTACTTCTGCAGTTCAGCAGCACAAAGAGGGGCAACTCTGTTAAACATTAATGCACTGTGTTTTTGCAGGGGTTTGCCGTGCTTGCACAGTCCTCAAACTACTGCCGGCCACAGTTCGTTGGCCCTGCAGACGTCCCCATGCTGTCCATACGGAACGGCCGGCACCCAGTTCTGGATGGGCTGCTGGGCGATGGTGCGGTGCCAAATGATGTGCTTTTAGGGGGCCAGGGACCATGCTCCGCAATCGTGACTGGTCCCAACATGGGCGGCAAGAGTTGCTACATCAAGCAGGCTGCGCTGACAGTCGTCATGGCCCAGGTGCGAAGCAAGTGGTTCTGCGCCTGGGAGTGTAATTTCCATTGCAAGGCATCTCACTGCAGGGAGTGCCATAGTATTCAGGAAAATTCTTGCTGTGTAATGTAGGACAGCACGATATAGGAACCTGTCATAGAATGTACTGTATAGGACATGGATGTGTGTGGGAGCTGTCCTCCATGGAAAGTGTCGTGTCACTGAGCCACAAAAAGACAATTAGCAACGTCCAGGTCCAGGTTCCTGTGCCAACAGCTTGGCCAATATAGTGACCTAAAGAAAATTCAAGGGACGAAGACAAAGCATGACAGGAATGGAAGGAACTCCCTGCCAAATGTGTGTGGGGTGGAGTGGGTTAGGATGCTCCTTATTGTGCACATGGTTTGATGGTTTAATAGAAATTTGGGAATGTTCTGAATGAATGCTTCAGTGTACCCATACTCATTCGTGCAGCTTTATAGCTGAATCATGTGTACCAAAAGATTTGTCAAGTGTATGATAATGGAGGCTGTGGTAAGTTGTCAAACCTCTTGTGCGAAGTGAACAGAACCTTATTATGTTTATGTTTGTTTGCTTGCATACTTGACAATTTACCACTACTGCTCTCCATCTGTGCTGGGTTGCCAGATTTTCCATGTGTTTTGGCCCTTTTGGTGCAGTGCAAGTACAGTACAGCTGCTTAGGTGCCTGTATGGAAGAGTGCAGACACGCACGGTTGTTCTGTGAACGATTGGGTTAGCTCTAGGTGGGACCTTGCCTGAGTGCAGGGCTCCTAGCATGCTCTTTGTTGCTTTTTGCCAATTTGTGATGGAATCAGGTCGATTTTGGGGTATGCAAACTCTTTATCAGACTCCGTATCCTTGTGCTGCTATTGTTTGCCATCGCTACTGTTTTGCCCCACGCATTGGTTGCGATTGAGGGGGAAACATGTTGGCCCCTACCCCCAGCCAAGAACGCGCGATTTCCCAGCAAGCTATCGCGGATCTGAAGCATTCGTGAGCTCAATTTGATCTGAAGGTTCACCAATTTCACATGGTCTGAATACGCAGAAACCAGCCAGGCTTCGCATCAGGCCAGGCTTCGCCAGGCATGGCACGCGGGGCTTCCCACCTGGCAAGCTCCCTTCGGCGCAAACGCAGCAAGTACAGCGAAAATGCTGTGCATGTTAGCATAGCACCACCGATTTCGTGGCAGGATTTTGGCAAGAAAAGTCACCCTCATCTCGCTGATTCTGATTTTCGCTTATTCACTTGCTCGGTTGCTTCGGCTACCGCTTCCGGGCATAACAGGGATGATGACATGCACAACTTTGCCACAGCAGCATATGTAGGAAATCTTCTTCTTCGGCCATTCGCTCATTGGCTGAGTTTTCCAGGTCGGGTCCTTCGTCCCCGCGGAGTCCACCCGCTTGCACGTCTTCGACGCCATCCTGGTGCGCATGGGCGCCTCCGACAACATCCGCATGGGCCGCAGCACCTTCCTGGAGGAGCTCTCCGACGCTAGCCACATACTGGCTGCCGCCACCCGCCGGTCGCTGGTCATAATCGACGAGCTGGGGCGGGGCACATCCACCCACGACGGCGTGGCAATCGCATCCGCCGCGCTGCGCCACCTGGTCGCTTCCACACAATGCGCCACGCTGTTCGTGACGCACTACCCGGAGGTGGCAGCCATGGGGTGCGAGCTGCCGGGGAGGCTGGTCGCTCACCACATGGCCTACCTTCAGGAGGGGGGCAATGAGGCAGTTTGTGGAGACTCCCGGTGCAGCAGGGTCATGCACCAAGAGAGCGAGACAGCGGGCCCCAAGGTACAGGGACGAAACGCACAAGTTAGTCATGAGCCCGCCAAGGCAGCAGGCAGTAGGCATCGTCATCACTCATTTTTGCACAACAAGGCGGCAGGTACACAGGGGGATCAAGAAATGATTGATGGTTTGGATGAGGCTGGAGTGACCAGATCTGGGCACATGCCCAGGCTGGTGTTTTTGTACCGGCTGGTGTCGGGCCCGGCGGATGACAGCTTCGGGCTGAATGTGGCGAGAATGGCAGCGCTGCCTGAGAGGGTGGTTGACAGGGCTGCACATAAGGCGCTGGAGATGAGGGGCAAGGAGGAGGCACGCAGGCAGGTGGGCAGGAGCTGCGATGCACAGGGGTGCATCAATGACGTTTGCGCAAGGCTGAGCAGTCTGCTGGGCACGGCCGGGAGTGAGACAGGCGTTGCTGGGGTGAGGGATTTCCTGCGATGGCTGAGGAGGTGATGAAAAATACCAGGGATGCCCAACTCTGTGAGCCATCCTGCACAGTGCGAGAAAGAAAATCTACAACGAACCGGTATTCTGGAGAGGGTGACGATAGTTTGACGTGGTTCCTTGCTATTGAACATTCAGGCGGGCGTCTATCTTAAGTTCGTTATTCAAGGCTGGCCATGAACGGATTCTGGGCCTGTGGTAGCAGCGCGCCGCTCAATGCGGGGCTTGTGATGAGAAAACTGGTACGGGACATAATGGAAATCTGATGTATACAGGTGGGCGACGTCCCCTCTTGGCATGTGGAAATTTGTTTCAGAAAAAGGTGTAACATTGTACTGATGGCGATGGAAAACTATGACCCAGCTATGAGTGTGCAGTAGTTGCCAATGTACTAGGTCACAGAATGCAGTAGATGGTGTGGGGAGTGTTGTGAAGGGCGGCGTTTTGGAGGGTATATTTGCAGGGTATCGAACCCTTGCAATGGGTAAGAAACTTAGGCCTTTGAGTTTGTGGAACCCAGGAAAGGTGCTTGAGACAGACAAATGCACCATAAAAACGGGGGCCCCATTTAATGGGTGATAATGCCCTGGGAGTGGTACTGAGGAGTTGTTCGATGTGCCTGCAAAATGACCCATTTCATAGGTCATCTTTGCATTAAAGACCATCAAAGAAAATGCGAAAACGGGCTAACAATATGAATAGAAAAGTGAGTAAAGAAAGAAAACAACAAAGAAAGCAAGAAAGGGCAGTTCTGTACCCAAAATTTGGGGGAAACGTTGCCCAGTTTTTTTCCAAAATTATAGTTAGTAGCTGTTGTGTAAACTACTAGGGGGTAGCCGATTTACTCAAGTTAGGTACTGGAAAGTGATAATGGACACAAGATTGTGCCTGGATTGGACAGAGGAGGCTGTTAGCTTTCCATAGGTCTTTGAATCATCCCAAACGGGTTAGCGGTAGAGGAGTTATGGCTTGTAGAAGTTCCAGTACTTCAGATTGGGCCCCTACCATACTCGGGGATGAGATACTATCGATACGGTACATTCGGTACGTTGTTCTATCGGTTGTGTACCGCTGCGTGCGGAGGTCATGTGACTGACCCCGCATGACAGCCTGTAATTCCATTCGTGCCCACTCTCGCCTCCCAGCGGTTGCACCCGCAGGCCACAAGGCGCCGCACGCACCCACTGCACATACGGCCGCCCCGCGCCTGGCCATTCCGTAGGCCTAGGCCCACACTGCGCATCCGAAGAGATGAGCGCCCTGCAAAGCCCGCCGGCCATCCGGCAGAGGAGGCCCCGCGGCCCCACCGGGCGCCTCGGTGGGAGCATCGCCCGCGAACCAACCGAAAACCATGCCAGGTGGTTTCGGAGCTGGCGAGCGCGGACAGTGGAAGCGCGCCACGCAACGCGAGAGCAAGAGGGGGGAGCCCCACCCGCGAGGGGGTCCCCTAATTTGGTGGGATCTTGGGGACGTCGGCCGGCCAGGCGACGGCACCCGTGAGGGGTGCGGCCTGAATCGGCCCGGATCAGAGACCAGTCTGGTCTGAGACCGCGCGCCCGGCCCCGTGGGGGGAGGGAGGCACATGCTGTTGCATTGAAAAAGGAGCCGGTGGGGTGGGGAGAATCGCCCCGCAGAGCCCGCCGCGGGCGGGTGGATTGGAGCGGCGCATCGCCGCGGAATCGCGCGCCGTGACCGGTGGTGTGAAGGCGCAGATCAGGAGCGCCAGGGCCAGGCACGGGCCGGCGCAATCGGCCGCGTGGGCCGTCGGGTCGGGCGGCAAGGAGCGCTAGGACCCCGGAGGGGGTTGGGCCGCAGCGGCGGAGTGGACTGACCGCCCGTCCTACGACCCCCGACTGCGCAATGGCTGACTGGACTGCATGTCGGGCGTGATGTGACAGCGGAAGCGGTGGGAAGCGACCCCGGAGTTACGTGAGGGATCTGCTGCGTGTCGGACGAGTCAGGTCGCCGGGTGGTGCCCAATAGCGCCCATGGCCAGTTTGGGCGCCCGGGGGGGTGCCAAATAGCGACCCCTGTAGGGTGCTGGTTGCTGGGGGTGTGGAATAGCGACCTCTGGACGGGGCCTGGCGGCAGGGCGTGTGCAATAGCGACCCCTACACAGTTAAGTACCGGGACCCAAGTGGAGCTGGAAAGATGACTTGTAAGAGCCTCTGAGGAAGCTTCCGACTACCCAAAGATGTGGCCTGACTACCTATGATACGTCAAGGTTGTTGGTGTGGGGCTCCTGCTCTCTTTGAGCCACGGACCCGCCTCGCCGGGCACCTAGGTCCTTACGGGGACCTAGGCGGGACCACTCCAACCTATTCCCATATCGTATAATATCGTTAAGTGGGTTGGGGGTATTCCACCATACCTTCGGCAGGGCGTCCCCCACACCAAGGGGCTGTTAGTAGGGTGTCCCCCACATCAGGCCGGTGTGCGTAACATTCGTCCCCCTCAGGGAGGTGGGATGTCCCCATCCCAATACGGTGATATGGGAATAGACGCATGCGTGGTCAGTGGGCCTGCTGTGTGTAACAACAGACTGTGCCCTTGGCCACATGCCCCGTTGATTACAATACAGGAACACCTTTACATGGAAGAGGAAAAGAGTGGTTGTTACATGGACAGTGTGTCTGCTGACAACCCTCATTAAAACTCTTCCCTCAGCATAACAGTTGGAATGTTTAATGTTAACCCAATGTACACATAGTACAATGATCTATCGGCCTGAAGGTGACCTCTCGGTCTGCTAGAGCCCAGGACAAGTCGATCACGCACAGGGACTACCCCGTGCATCTGCAACGGCGTCCTCCACCAGCCTGCCACGCGCGACCTCGTCCACGCAGAACATAGCGAGGTTGGCGGCCTCGTCCTCTTGCATGGTCGGATGTCCGGAACAGCGGGCCATCACTCTCCACTCGTTCCCCATGGAGGATTGCTATTGACATCACATTCATATGTCCGAATGCAGAATGCGATCTCGCGCCCTGGTAACTAGTATTTTTCTGGCCCAGCGGAGCATTGCCTGCGATAACAACACAAATGGACTCATGTCAACATGTACATCTTGTACTGCGTGTATTTCGACCAGTTTGCATATGCGTCACAGGAGTTCTGCTATTTTCAAATGCTTGAACCAATTCTTGTGCATTTGCAACTGCTTTTGCTGACTCCCAGGTGTTATGTTCATGTCCATAACCCAGCCATTTGACAAGGTACTCAATAGAGTCCTGCCGTCGGCTGCGTTTTTTGACTCTTTTGTCAAGGATACGTTCAACTTCATACTCCAATTCCCCTTCAATCTTGATAGGGACTTGGGGTGGCTGTACTCTGCCACTAGCCTTATACGGCTTGAGTTTCGATACATGGAAAACTGGATGTATCTTACTCATGCTGTCCGGAAGCTCTAGCCGGTATGCGACAGAACCTATCCGGTCGAGGATGGTGAAGGGCCCAATCCACCTCGGTAATAATTTCCGTGTACCCGGGTGCTTGGGGGTAATGTGCTGTATCGAAAGGAGGACGTCATCTCCTTTATTATACGACACTTCCCTCCGGTGGCGGTCAGCATGCTTTGACTGCCTGGCCCATGCTTTTTCTAAGCACTCTTTGGCCTCTTTCAGCGCTGTCTGGACACGGTGATCAAATCGTGGCACTGCTGGTAATCCCTCCATGAGGGGTGTACCATTTCGCCTCAAATAAGGCTGTTGTGCCCTGTCAATAGCCACTGCCAAGCCGCGGGCATTCGGATTGTCATAGCCTTTCAACGGCTTCCGAATTTGCACCCCAAGGGCTAAGGGACTCCTTGGGTGTTGACCGTAGTTCAAATAGAACGGGGTCTCTTGGGTTGAACTGTTCTTCGAGTTGTTCATTGCAAACTCGGCCATGGCTAACAGTTCATCCCACGCGTTTTGATCAGAACGTGTATAGCTGCGTAAGTAGTCCTCCAAAACCCGATTCATGACTTCAGAATGGCCATCCATTTGCGGATGGTACGCAGTGCTCATTTTGAGATGTACTTTCCACCTCTCTGCCAGGTACTTGTAGAACCTGGAAGTGAACCAAACATCTATGTCGGACACTATTGTAGAGGGGAGACCGTGGTGCCTTATCACATTCTGCACCAGTAAGTCTGCCGCTCCTTCCGCGGAGACTTCGGTCTCAGTGGCTGCGAGGCGCACAATTTTGATCAGCCTATCAATGAACACAACGATGGCATCGTGACCTCCCTTAGTTTTTGGCAGTTGAGTAATGAAGTCCATAGACAATTCAGTCCATGGCTCCTCAGGAATGCCCAATGGCTGTAGTAAGCCTGGGGTCTTCTGGCAAGAACACTTAGCCTGTTGACAAACCAGGCAAATATCAACATGTAGTTGCATCTCTCGTCGCATTCCTGGCCATCAGTAATATCTCTGGACTAAGTCCAGGGTTTTGGCTTGACCAAAGTGTCCTGCACTTGGATGGTGATGCGCCAACTGGCAGATCTCAGTCCTCAGACTGCCTGGTATATATACCTGCTCGCCTCGCAACCATAAGACGCCTATACAGCGCAACTCTTGCTGCTGTTTTACAGACTCAAGCTGGGGGTCACGGCTATAAGTCTGACGGATCCTGGAGGCCAGATCTTCTGCCTCTACCATCTTTTCAGACCGTTGGTCTTTTCCCTGTTTGTGCAGTGCCCGTAAGCCACATATAGCCAATTGACCTTTTCTCCTAGCTTCTTGTTCACCAGGAGTAGGTGGGATTCGAGAAAGTGGATCAGCCACATTCTTTCGCCCTGGGCGATATTCCCAGTCAAAGTCAAATTGTTGCAAGAATTCTGACCATCTGGCCTGCCGCCTGCTCAGCTGTGGCTGTGACTTCAAGTATATCAACGGGCAATGGTCCATCACCAGTTTGAAACGTGTTCCTTCCGGGTAACAATGCCACAATTGGACGGCATGCACGGAAGCTAATGCTTCCTGATCTGTTACGCTGTAATTCAGCTCTGCAGGGAGAAACTTCCTGCT